CGTGGGGAGCCTGCTTCCCTTCCTCTCTCTCTGCCTGCCTCTCTGACTACTTGTGATCTCTGTCTGTCAAATTAATAAATAAAATCTTTAAAAAAAAGATTTTCCTTATTTATTTGACAGAGAGAGAGACAACGAGAGAGAGCACAAGCAGGGGGAGCGGCAAGCAGAGGGAGAAGCAGGCTTCCTGCCATGCAGGGACCCCTCCACCAACACGGGGCTCCATCCCAGGATCCTGGGATCATGACCTGAGCCAAAGGGAGATGCTTAATGACTGAGCCACCCAGGCGCCCTGATACAATGCTTTTAAATGTCACTATTTTATTGTAAAAAGAGGGCGCACTTACTGTAGGGGATTTGGAGAACGTAGGACAGCATGAAGATGGCAGGAGTCCTGCCGTCCTAGAAACCACCTGTTAGCGTGCGGGTGCGTGTGTTTCCCCTGAGTGTGTTTACAGTCGCTCGTGTCCTGTCACTTTCTAATCAAACGCTAACCTTGTCTAGGGTTACGTCTGTTTTGACTAACACCCTCGCTGGCCCTGGCCGCCAAGCCTCCTGCAGAAGCCATCTGGGCTGAGAGGCGGCTCCACACGGCCTGCACACGGCTCCAGCCTCGCCGGAGCTCAGCTCTCTTTCTGCCCGCAAAGAGGCTGGTAGTAGCCTCTATCCCCAGTCTTCCCGTGAGCCAGTGCCACCAAACCGTTCTGTGGACTCGTGGCTGGCTCCAGCTTTCCTTACTTTGGGATTGCAAATAAAACCGTGGGCAACAATATCAGGTATAAAAATTTCCTTGTACACACGAATATTTCTTTTGTGCGTCTCTCTGAAAGGCAGGAGGGGCCAGAGTGTAGACGTGCTTCTGGGTCTCGGTGTGTTTCAGGCTCATCCCAGTAGTCTGCCACGTGAGCTGGCAGGCAAAGCTGGGCCGAGAGCAGAGGCTGCATGTTGGGGGTGGCCCCCGCCCCAGGCCCTGCCCCCACTGCGCGGTGAGGTGGCCGCTCATGGTAACGGGGGGCTGTGCTCTCCTTGCAGGACTGGAAGGACCACCAGCACCTGTGTGGTCAGTCGGCAGCCGTCACTGTCCAGGCGGATGAAGTCCACGTCACTGACAGCGTGATGGAGAAAGTCACCGTGTGAGGGTCCCCGGGTCCCCCCGCCTTGGTGCCGTGGAGCTGTCGGGGGCTGGGGACCTCGGGGGACGTTGAGGAGAAGGTGAAAACACTTGCTGGTCAAGTTGTTAACAGACTTTAAGTGACCTGTGCCCTCAGAAATGAGTTCCCGCCACCCAGAAGCCCTGAGGGAGGTCGGGGCAGCGGCTGGTGGACGCAGGCCCCGGGCCCTTGGCGCCTTCTCTCGGTGCTGTTTTTATCCCCTGGATCTTGAGCTCCTGGTCTTACCCACAGGTGTGACGTGTGTGGTAACACACGTGTACATAACATGTGTCTGTCAATAAAGGTGACCTCCCCGCCCCCCCGGGACGGGTGACTCCAGCTCCAGCTTCCCAGATGCCCCGGAGGTGGGTGGGCCCCAGTTTCATCTCTCCTGACTGCGTGGGGCAGCGGTGAGGCCAGCCCGCAGCGTTCACCCCGCAGAGGCCTGAGCGCTGGGCGGGTGCTGCCCCAGGCACAGGGCCCCTCCTGTCCCGTCTCTCCAGTGACACAGCCCCGGCTTCCTTCCTCTCTGCTCCAGCGTGAGGTTCCACCCTGAGAACCCTGACAGCTCAGAGGTGAGGCCTTGCTTCCCCCGCCTGCTCTGAGGGGCAGAGGGCAGAGGGGTCACTGGGCCCAGCGGCTGGGGTGTCAGGCTCGGCTGGCCCTGGAAACAGGACTTGCCTCCCCCGTTGACCAGGAGTTGTGCCTGAGGAACTGTCACCTGCGTTCTGGAAGCTTCTGTGGGTTTCCAGAAATGCCCTTGTGGCCCTGGAACCCGTGGCCCGCCGTCACCATTTTCGCTGCACTCCCGAGGCTCGGAGGCTCCCCTGCGTGGGGGCAGAAGGTGCAGCCCACGCCAGCAGGAGACGCATCTGCTGTGCGGTGGCGAGCCGGCCCTGCCGCAGGGGGCTGAGACCCACCTGTGGGGATCGTGCCCCGGTTCTGACGCACGCGCCTCCAAGTGCCGTTTCAGTGAGCCGCGTGTGCTCACACCTGCGAGGGCGTGGAAGACCATCCCCAGCCCTGCGCACACACCCCCCACCCGGATTTTTACTTCCGGAAAGTTCTTCCAAGTTGGTAGCACCCTAGAGACTTGGCTTTTGGGACGCCGGCTCTGGCTCCGGAGTGGGCTGAGGGGACGTCCACAGCGGTGACCGGCAGGGCCGTGAGCTCGGGAGTCGCAGAAGCCGCTACTTCCCACTCAGCCTCGTCCCCGGGGCGGGGCCGGCCTGGCCCTGGGCTTAGGACAGACGCGCAGCCAGAGGCTCTCAGGGAGCCCACCAGGAGCCCCGCTCTCCGGAACCCCGCTCTGCCTCTGTGCTCCTTGAGCTCTTCAGCTGAGCTGGGTTCTTTGGGTTTTTCTTTTACTGAGTCTAACAAGTACCGGAGCCCCTGTAGTTCATCTTCCTGCCTCTGCCACCAGCTCTCGGGGAGATGGAGGCCAAGAAGTCGGGGCCTGTGCCCAGGGCTAAGGAGCTGGCAGTGGGATGTGACCCTGGCCCCATCGTGTGCCCCAGACCGTCTCCCCCGGGGCACCTTCATCGCGCACGTGGAGCGGTTTTTCCGCCACTGCAGACAACGCGGTGGGAAGGGAGCAGTTCTCAACCCTTGGCCATGGGCCTGCTTCCCTGGGGTGGGGGGAGCACGTCAGCCTCAGCGGAAGGGGTCTGCACCTTCAGAAGCAACCTCTCCAACCCAAAAATGCTCACAAAGTAAGCACCAGAGTCCTTGCAAGTAAAGCTCCGCCCCCACACCGCCGCCATGGGGCTGGCTCCATCCTGGGGTGGGGGCACCTGGGTGCCTCAGTCGGTTAGGTGGCCAACTCATGATCTCAGGGTCGACAGTTCAAGCCCCGCACTGGGCCCCACACTGAGCATGGGGCCTCCATAAAGTAAGAAGAAAAAAATAGAGCCCTCAGGACCACATGTTTTGGGGGCGGTTTTTCACAGTGTTTCCTTTCTTGGCCACGAAGTGTTCTCTGTGTAGCCGCACCTGGGGGGTGGGCAGGAGACGGGAGGAACAGGCTTCGTTGTGGGTCCTCAAGAGTTTGGGTCAAGGCTTTTGACAGCATCTCCTGCTGGGTGCAGCCTCGGGGGACAGGCGAGGGGCCAGCAATCGGCACAGGCCAGGCCACTCGGGGTGCTGTGGGTCTTCTGAGCTGAAGCTCCAGGGAGCTGCAGGCTGGGGTGACCCTGGGCGTTGGTGCGGGTGGCTGAGTGAGCTGGACAGCCGGGGCTCCTCTGGGGGCTTCCCAGGTAGCCAGGCCCTCTGTGGCTCTGCGTGTGCACCCCCACCCCCAGTGCGCACCTTGTCCTCTGCTGCGGGAGCTGCAGGTTCTGCCTCCAGGGCCAGTGGGGCTCCCAGCCTGTTCCCAGCTCGGCCCGAGGGCAGGTGCGGCTCACGGGTGGGTCAGCCCTGCCCGCACACGCAGGTGAGGAGCGCACCCGGGGGACAGAGCTGAGCTCGGGAGCGGCCCGCCGTTGCCATGCGGTGCTGGTCAAGGGCTCGGCTCGCTGTCTGCCTGCAGGGGCTCCACAGGTGCCCATGGCGGGAGCATCGGAGGGCACAGGGGCAGGGGTGTCGCTCTGACCTTGCCTTCCACCGGGGCCCCCAGGGACCCTCCCTGGTCTTCGAGTCTGAGACCCCCAGGAGGGACCATCTGTGCCTGGGATAGCCGGTTGGGCTGGCTCCGTTGTGCCATTTGGGCCTCCGGTCCCCACGTCGGGGCTGCTCCCTGTGGGGAGACCCAGGGTGTCTGCTGCAACTGTTCTCACACTTCATGGGCAAGAAGGTGCCAGAAACTCAAGGAGCCACCAGAGCCAGGGTCTACCAGGTGGCTCTCACCTCCCTCCCACGGAGACCCTGAGCGAGGGAGGGCGAGAACCCCCAGGCGGGGAGGGGCAGCCCCGTGCTCTTGTGAGTTTGGGCCCCAGGACTGGGAGAGCAGGTTGGAGGGGCTGAGAGCCGCCCCCACCTCCCCAGGATGGCAGCTTGGTAGCTCGGCCTTGCCTTGGGCCAGGCACCTCCTCCGAGGGGTGGGAGGCCGCCTCGTTGGGCCCAGCCAGGACCCCAGCCCTGTCTCCTCAGGGCTTTGGACTTCGTCAAAGCTGAGCAGGCAGGGAGCTGTGCTCTGACCTGGGGGCAGCCGCCAAAATGGTGGCCAAGGCCCGCTCCCTGGAGAGGGGTGCGAGGCCACCTTGGAGTTCCTTGCTGAAGCAGGGGCCCGGTCTGGGTGGGGCTGTCTTCCCACTGGGGAAAGGACAGTCTCAGGAAACTGCCATGGCCAGCCTGCAGGACAGCTGTCCACACTCTCCCGCGGAGAGAGGGCACCGGCTGGGCCTAGGGGGATGGGGCTGCTGACCCGAGACAGCTGGGATGGGGGTGTCAGGAGGGAACCTTTTGGAGGATGGTGTGAATCACGGTAAGTGAGCCTGTAGGCAGCCCCGCAGAGTCCCGGCCTTCCCGGGCAAGGGCTGCGCTGGTTCTGGAAGTTTCTCCCTGGGGTAAGCTGAATGGGCCTCCCTGAAGCTTCCCTCCACTGCCCCCCCAGAGCTGGCTTGCCTCCCACCTCACCTCCCACCCCAGCCTGGAGCCGGCTTTGTGGGGTCTGTTCTCCGGGCTTCCTCAGGAGGGAGGGGCTTAGCTGGCCAGGTCGGTTTAGTGGGGGGTCTGGGCTCCACGTGGGGCCGAAGCTCCTCCTCCGTGCACCCGCGCACCCTCCTCCCCTCCTCCCCTCCTCCCCTGGCCGCACTCCCCACCACCGGCCTTTCCAGCAGGTGTTCAGGAAGGTACTGGTTTAATCAGCCCGACAAAGCCGCCCCCACCCTTGCTGGGGTCCTGCCCCCCGAGGCACCGCCAGGTCCCCGCGGAGGACTCTCGGGTGCGGGCTGGGGGCTGCTCAGCAGCAGAGGCGAAGGGCCTTGCGGAAGACCGCGCGGAACTCGGCGTTGAAGACCGTGTAGATGAGGGGGTTGAGGGCGCTGTTGACGTAGCCCAGCCAGGTGACGGCGCTGACCAGCCGCGGAGGCACGGCGCAGGCGGGACACAGCGCCCCGGTGATGTGCACTACGAAGAAGGGCGTCCAGCACACCAGGAAGGCCCCTGGGGGCGGAGCGGGGCGACGGACCGCTCGGTGAGCCGGGCTCCCTGCGGCGCCCCCCACCTGCCCCAGGCTCCGCCTCCTGCGTGGGCGCTGCCCGCTTCCCCTCCGCCCACCGACCCCAGGCCGGTACCCACCGACCACCACGGGCAGGACCCTCATGGCCTTGCGCTCGCGGCCCGTGATCTTGGCGCGCCTCTCCTCGCTCGCCGGCAGCGGGGGCTCGGCCGGAGTGGCGTCGGGGGTCGGGATGGCCTCGGGGGTCTCGACGGCCTCGGGGGGCGGCGGGCCGGGGCCGCTGGGCCGGCGCGGCCGGCGGCCGTGCAGCTTGGCGCGACGGGCGGCCTCCCAGCGCCGCAGGCCCCGGAACGTGGCCCAGTAGAGCAGCAGCATGAGCGGGCAGGGCAGGAAGAAGGAGCACACGGAAGAGTAGACCACGTAGTCGCGGTCCTCCAGGCGGCACACGGCGGGGTCGCGGCCGCGCGCGTCGTTGAGGCCGCACAGCACAGGCGCAGCCACCGCGGCCGACAGCAGCCACGTGGCGCCGATGAGCAGCAGCTGACGTCCGCCGCCGCTCTGGCGGTTGTAGCTCAGCGGCACGGCCACGGCCACGAACCTGTGGGGGGGCGCGGCGCGGGCGGCCGGGACAGGGGAGGGGCGCGGTGAGGGCGCGGAGGGGCGCGGGCCGGGCGGGGCCGGGCGGCGCGGGCGGCGGCAGCTCACCTGTCCGCGCTGATGGCGCACAGGTTGAAGATGGAGGCCGTGCACAGCATGACGTCCATGGCCATGAGAGCGTCGCAGAGGCCGGGGCTGAACAGCCACACGCCACCCTGGACCTGCACCCCAGGAAGGGGCACGGGGTGGGGGGGGACAACAGACACGAGGCCTGCTGCTGGTCTGAGACCCCCAGGAGACCTCATAGCCGCCTGCGCTGGGCACTTCTGACCCCCACCCGCGTGGGGGAGCGAGGATGTGCCAGAGGCCCACACGCCTGGGCGGTCTTCCTATTGAGCTGGACGAGATTCCCTTCCTCCCCACTTTCTGCAAAAGCCAAGAAAGGCCTGGGGGAACCCCTGGAGATGGGGTCTCGAGGGTCCAGGACTCTGATCCCTGATGCTGCAGAGCTCGGGGTAGGGAGGTACTCCCTCAGCAGGCCGGCTGCCTGGAGCCTGAAGCCCACTGACCTCCTTTCCTCCCAACAGGATGGCTAAGAGTCAGCCTGTGTGGTTAAACTCCATCACTACTCTGGGACTCCACAGGTCACCTCACTTTTGTCCCCTCATCTGTAAATAGTATCCACACAATTGCCTTGAGGATAAATGAGTTGCAATATGTAAAGGGCTCAGCACCGGCCCGCTGCCCCCACCAAGGACAAAGGAGCAGACAGCCACCCTCCTTCTAAATCCCCTCCGGCTGATTTGGGGCGATTAGGAGCTTAAGAGCTGTCTCTATGACGTCTGTCTGTGGCTCCGGGGGAGGGGCAGGTCATGTGTGTCCTTGTCCTGCTAGCTCTGCCCCAGCCCTGCCCCAGCCCTGCCCAGTCTCACCATGTCCACTTTAGAAAAACAGAGCCTCCCCGACTCTCCCCCCTGCCCGGGTCACTGTGCTCCCAGCTTTTCTCTGTCCAAACCATGAAGTAGACAGGGGCTGGCACCAAGGGGGACCCACCCAAGGGCCAGATGTGGTCTGGGGACAGAGGCTTCTGGGCCCTGGTTCTTGGAGGGGGCGCTGGACCCCACACCAACCCCTGCTTTGGGTTCCAGCATCAGGGCAGGGCCTCCCCTTCCTCCAACCCTGCTCACTTCCCCTCAGCTACTGGCAGCTGAATGGCCCTCCTGCTGTGGGCAGTATGTGTGCGAGCAAGGGTCTCCTTCCCTGGGGTGCTCTGATGTGCGCCTGTTCCTGGTCACGCCTGGCTGTGGCTTTGTGCAGTGATGTGTGTGTGTCTCTGTGCCCCAGGGAGAGCAGGGGTGGTGCGGGGAGAGTAAACCCGAATCTGCCTGTCCATCTGGCTCCCCTGGGGAATGGAACCTCGGCTGAGGGGGTGGTGAGTGGCTGGACTGCCCACGTTGCCTGTTTCTGAGGTCCCTGGCTTGAAGGGCAAAGGCCTCTCTTAGGTGGGAGACGCCAAAACAGGGACAGGAGAAGAGAGATACAGAGGAAGGAGGGCAGACAGCCAGTTAGCCAAGCAGGTTAACTGACAGTGAGATGCTGCGGGGAGTCAGAGGGGACCGAGGTCCAGACCCAGGACCAGGCACAGGGTCCTTGCAGCCGCCCTGGCTCGGGGTTCCCGAGAAGCCCAGCGGCCGGGTGGTTCTGGGTCCTCAGGGTGGACTGGGACAGGGGACGAAGGAGCAGGTGAGGCGAGCGCGTGCGGTCCGGACGCGGGCTCACCTCGGAGTAGACGAAGAGGGGCAGCACGAGCAGGGCAAGGAGGAGGTCGGCGGCCGCCAGGCTCACGATGAAGTAGTTGGTGGGCGTCTGCAGGGCGCGCTCGGCCGCCACGCTGACGCACACGAGCGCGTTCCCCGCGAGCACCGCGCCGATGAGCAGCACGCCCCCCGCCAGCGCCGCCGCCGCTCCGGAAGACCCCGCGGCGCCGCCGGTTCCCGGCCCGCGCCCCGCCAGCAGCCCGTCGGCGTCCGCCGCGCTGCGGTTCCCCATCGCACCCCTGCCCCCCGCGGCGCTCGGGCGGGCGCTCAGCACCGCGGACAGCGCCCGGGTCGCGACCCCCGGGAGCCCCGCCCCCCGGGCACGCCCCGAGAGCGGCCGGAGTCCGCCCCGACCCGCCGCGCTCCGTGCGCCCCGGGCGCTCTAAGGTGCTCCGGGCCTTTGCGGCTCTCGCACTCCGACAGGCGCGCAGGACGCGTGCGACGGCCCTCGAGGGAAGACTTAAGCGAGGCGATCGGCGCGGGGGGCCCAGCATCGCCCCGCCGCGCAGGGCTGGAGGTACGCGCGGGGCTGCGTTCTGGGAAACCGACCCGGGTGGAAGGTCTGCCGGACCCTCCCTCGAGGTGTGCGAGCGCCCCACGGCAGCGCCGTCCCCGGGCCCCGGAGATCCCCGGCCCCAGGAGATCCCGGGCCCCGCCTGCGCCCGAGGGGCATCTGCTTCTCCGGGACTCCCCGGGAGGCGCCTCCAGGCGGAGGCTCCCACAGGGCACCCCGAGAGCACCCTCATCAGGCCGGTTCCGCCAGACAGCGGGAGACCCCAACTCCTCGCCGGTCTCCCCCGTGGGCCCCTGATGGGGCTTCCCTCGGTTCACCCGACCCAACCTCTCGTGCCCCAGGGAGTCCCCCCAAAAATGTTTGCAGGCCCCATTTGGGCCTGCACCCCATCCCCTGAAGCAGCCTCTCGTCCGACCCGAATGGACCCTGCCCAGTTACTGTCCAACAACGGCCGCGGCCTGGTGCTTACTTCCGAGCATGAAGTGAGGTAACAGGACGACGGTGCGCTCGGAGCTTCGCGATTGTCCTGGTCCCGCCTGCCCCAAACGAGACCCCTCTGAGCCTGCACCGCCAAACCCACAAACTCGCAGGATCGCGGGCCAAGTCGGTGGGTCACCCCCACCTGCCAACACATGACTGTGGGGGCACGGGAGGCTGCGGCGGTGGGGACTGCGGGGGGCAGTGTCCCAGGCGTCCCCAGAAATACAGTTTTTGTGTGTTGACCTTGTGTCTTTGTTGTTGCTAAACAGAGTTAGCTTGAGACAGCAGGACGGAACTTGTCCTTTGGCGAGAATTACTAAACCAGAGTGACCCAGAGCCCGGAGCCCCTGGCAAATGGGCGGGGAAATGGGCCCTCCACCTGCATGGCTCTGTGGGACCGCCCCCAGGCACCGTTCCCACCCCAGGGAGGCTGGAGACTCAAGGTGGGCCTGGAGCACAGAGCTGCAGCCAGGAACTCACAGGGGCAGCAGGGGATGCAGTGACCAGCTCGATGAGCCAAGCACCTGGCTATTAAAGAGAAAAAAAGGGGCGTCGAGGTGGCTCAGTCAGCCCAGCGCATCAGACTCCTGGTTCCGACTCAGGCTGTGATCTTGGGCTCCTGATCTAGGTCCCTGGGGGACTCTGCTTGTGCTCCCGCTCCCTCCACCTCCACCCCGGTCCTTGCTGGCTCACTCGCTCTCTCAAATAAAGAAAACCTGAAAGAGAAAACAAGGACTCTGGGGAAAAAATGCCGCACTGATCGTTTTAAGGGGTGAGGGCACATGGATCTGGCACAGGAAATGTGTGTGCAGGGCGCGTGTGGCTGGACGCCCAGATCTGAGCTGCATCTGGCACCCCCTTCCCTTTCGCACAGAGCAGTAGAGGGACAGGCAGGCTTTCTGCCCTGCCGAAGCCTGGAAGACTCGAACGAGAAGGCTCGAGTCGCTAGTGACTGGGGCAGGAGGAACGTGGTTCTCTCACAGTCCAGGGCAGGGGCAGCTCTGCGATCTGGGGTTGGGTGCCAACTAGTGAATGCAGCCTAGCCTCTGACCCGCTTGGAGTTTCCTCCTGGGCCCCAGATGGTGGCCACCATTAAGAGTGAAAAGGCTTGGAGTGCCTGGGTGGCTCAGTGGGTTAAAGCCTCTGCCTTCGGCTCAGGTCATGATCCTGGGTCCTGGGATCGAGCCCCTCATGGGACTCCTGGCTCAGTGGGAAGCCTGCTTCTCCCTCTTACTCTCTCTCAAATAAATTAAAAATACATACATAAATAAATAAGATTAAAAAAAGAGTCAGATACATGATGTGAAAATATTTTCTCCCAGGCTGTACCTGTTACTTCATTCTCACATCTTATTTTTTTACATGTAAGGTGTGAGCTGAGGCTCTGTCTGTCTGTCCTTGCCTATGGCTGTCCGATCATCTCAGCATCATCTGTTGAAAAGACGCTTTTCTCCATTAGATTGCTTTTGAACTTCTATCAGAGAGTCACTTGATTGTATTTGTGTGGGGCTCTCTCTTTTTACTCCCTCTTCTGTCCCACTATCTACGGGTCCATGTGTCTGTCCCTTCAGCCACAACACACAGCCTTGACCGTGGCTTCATGGGAAGTCAGGAAATCAGGCTCTAGGAGTCCTTGAACTTTGTTCCTTCACAAAATTGTTTTGACTGTTCTAGTTCTCTTGTCTCTATGTATGGATTTTTAAAAAGATTTTATTTATTTATTTATTTGAGAGAGAGAGAAAACAAACAGGGTTGACAGGGAGAAGCAGGCTCCCTGCTGAGCGGGTAGCCCAAAGGGGGGCTCCATCCCAGGACCCCAGATCCTGACCCGAGCTGAAGGCAGACGCTTCACTAACTGAGCCCCCAGGGCGCCCCTGTGTCTGTGGATTTCGATCAGGTTGTCTGTATCTACAAACATAGGCCTGCTGGGAATGTGATCGCCATCGCGTTCAACCCCAGCCGCTAGTTTGGGGCCACATGACTTCTCCAGGGTGTGGGGTTCCCCAGTCTGTGAGCACAGGCAAGTCTCTCCATTTGATTTCTTTCTTCAGTATTTTGTTTTTAGCATAAAGATCCTGCGCATATTTGGTAAGATTTGTAACTTAACGTGTCATGGTTTCTTTTTAGAAATATTTTATAGGGTTTGTTATTTTTTTATTTTTTTAAGATTTTATTTATTTAGTTGACAGAGAAATAGCGAGGGAGGGAACACAAGCAGGGGGAGTGGGAGAAGGAGAAGCTCCCAGCGGAGCGGGAGCCCGATGTGGGACCCGATGCCTGGACTCCAGGATCATGACCTGAGCTGAAGGCAGACGCTTAACTGACTGAGCCACCCAGGCGTCCCCAGAAATACAGTTTTTGTGTGTTGACCTTGTGTCTTTGTTGTTGCTAAAACTTATTAATGCAAGGATTTTTTTGTTTGTTTTTTAGTTTTCCTCAGAATTTCTAAGTAAGTACAGACCATTTTATGTCTCCCTTTCCTTCCTGGACACCCTTCCTTCATTTCTTCCCCCTTATTTTACTAACTGGAACTTGAACATAATGTTCAGAAATGGTGAATGCAAACGTACTTGCCTTGTTCTTATGGGGAAAGCTTTCACCTGTCCCCAGTAAGCGTCCTGGCAGCTGTGGGTGTGGGTTCCGCTTGCGGTTCATGAACGTCTATTCTTAGTCTGCCTGAACGCAAACAGGTGTCCAGTTCTCTCGGGTCTTCTTACCACCTCTGCGGAGAGGATCGCAGGCTTCTCCCGAGTCTGCTGCTCTGCTGGAGCGGGGCTGGGCGTGGGGTGCGGGGCCGGCCTTGCCCTCAGGCACGAAGCCCGTTTGGCCGTGGAATACCCTTCCTTCCATACAGGCCGGATTCGGTGCGGCAACGCGGGTCAAGGGCCTTCGTGGCCGTGGTTCTCTCTCAGGTGGTCTCTGTCTGGCGCGGGTAGAACTGATGCTGGCGCTTCCTTCGGTGCTGGCGTGAGTCGCTGGTGAAGGCGTCCGGCCCCACGTTCTCTCCTCGGCCGCGCTCGGACGGTGAGGACGCGTGTCTGTGAGCGCCCGAGGCCGGGGTGCCCACATGTCCCGTCTCGAACCCTTTTCTACGCGCAGGTTTCCGTTGCCAAGGCTCTTTCATCCCTCTGTTCATGAAATGTGTGTTTTTTTCTAGAATATAGCAACCTTTCTGCTAGAGGTTTATTAATGTTATTCATCTTTTCAAAGAACCAACTTTTGGTTTCATTGATTTTTTTTCTACAGTTTGTTTTCAGTTTCACTCATTTCTGCTTTTATCTCTGTTCTCTCATCCTGCAGGCTCTGTCCTCAGTTTGTCCTGTTTCTGGTTTGTGAGCCCAGTGCTTTCCTGACACAACCACTTAACGCTACATATGTCCCTCCGAGGTGCATCCCACACATTTTTGTGTGTTCGATCGATCACGTTCCATCTTTCCCTGAGACTTCTGTGACCCATGGTTACTTGGAACTATGTTGTTTTGTTTCCAAATGTTTGGAGATTTTCCTATTGCCTTTCTGTTGTTTACTTCTCGTCTGTTCCATCACAGTGAGGAAGAAAGGCTGCGTCAGACCTCAGTTCTTTTAAACTTGTTAAGGTTTATTTTATGACCCAGAGTCTAATCAACCTATTTTCGCAAATGTTCTGTGCGTACTTGGACAGCAGGTGCTGTCTGGTTCTGGTGCTGTCGGTGCAGAGCTGTGACGATGTGGGTCCCGTCAGAATGCGGCTCTGCCGACCTGCTACGACCTTGCTGTTTTCTGTCTGTTCTAGTGACTCCTGAGAGAGGAGCGAGAAGTCTCCTCGTACACTGTCGGTTTCTCTAGCTCTCCGTTCAGCTCTAGCCGGATGCACTGGGAAGAGGGGCCACGAGGAGCTCAGAGTCAGGGCTCACATGACGGGGTGGGAGGGAAGTTGGGGGTGATTGAACTGCTGGTGCTTCCAAAGTTGACTACATTATTTATTTTTAAAAATTTATTTTTTAAGACTGTTTTTTTAAAGATTAATTATTTATTTATTTGACAGAGAGAGATCACAAGCAGGCAGAGAGGCAGGCAGAGAGAGGGGGGGAAGCAGGCTCCCCGCTGAGCAGGGAGCCCGATGCGGGGCTCGATCCCAGGACCCTGAGATCATGACCTGAGCTGAAGGCAGAGGCTTAACCCACTCAGCCACCCAGGCGCCCCTGAATACATTTTTTTAAATTCATAGAACCATACCTCAAAAAGAGTAGCCATAGGGGCGCCTGAGGGGTTCAGTGGGTTAAGCCTCCGCCTTCAACTCAGGTCAGGATCCCAGGGTCCTGGAATCAAGTCCCGCATCCGGCTCCCTGCTCAGTGGGGAGCCTGCTTTTCCTTCTCCCTCTGCTGCTCCCCCTGCTTGTGCTCTCTCTCTTGCTCTCTCTCTCTCTCTGACAAGTAAGTAAATAATAAAAATCTTAAAAAAAAAAAAGGTGCAGAGCTGAGCAGCTCAGCCTGATGGAAGGGTGTCCTAATTCTGTCCAAAGCCTCTGGCTGGCAAAAGCTGGGATGTGCAGCCTCGAAGGCCCCTCCCCCCTGCTGAGACTAGGACGGAAGCCAGAGCAGTCAGCCTCGTGGTGACTCTGGAACAGGTGCTGGAGCCAGTTTTGTAGCCATTTGCTGCAGAATTTTATGGGATGCTTGAAACATTCTAGATAACACTTATTTGGCTTGCAAGTTTGATAGTTTGATAGTTTAAGACTCTCTCCTTAATCAACAGAACGAGTGGACAGAAAGTCAGTCAAGCTATAGAAGAAGCTGAGTGACCATCAACCAAGGAGACAGATTTGACATTTATGGAACAGTCCGTGCAATGACAGAGAAATCAGATGCTCTTCAAGTAGACATGGCACATTCACCAAGATAGACCATATTCCGCATCAAAAAAGAAAGCTTAACAAATGTTTTTAAAAGAATGTAAGTCATACAAAGTATGTTCTCTGACCATAAAGGGATTAAATTAGAAACCAACAGAAAGAAAGCAGAGAAATCTCTAAAAATTTTGGAATTAACACAATTTGAAGTAATCAGTGGGTCAAAGGAGAAATTAGAAAATAATTTGAACTAAAGGAAAAAAAAAGCATGATATCAAAATTTATGGGACGGAGATAAAGCTCTGTTCAGGGGAAAATTCATAGCATTAACTACTTAATTTGAAAAGAAGGATGGTCTCAAATTAATGTAAAATACCATTTGGCAATCCAAAGAAGAAATATCACATGATCATATTGACTGATGGAGAAAAACATTTCACAAAATTCAATATGTGCTCATGATGAAAGTGCTTAGCAACCAAGAACCGGAAGGCGCTCCCTCAAACCAACAAAAGACATCTTCGAACCCTGCAGCCAGCATGACACTTAATGATGCAAGATTGAGTGCTTTCCACCTAAACTCAGGAAAAAGGGTGTCCGTTCTCACCACTCTTAGTCAACATTGTGCTGCCATTCCTGCCAGCGCAATCGAGCGATAAAAAATACACAAATAAAATACATGCAGATTGGAAAGGGAGAAGCAAACTGCCCCATTCGCAGACAACATGACTGTCTAAGTAAAACCCCAAGGAATCTACAAAAGCTCCCAGAACTAACAAGTCAGCTGAGCCAGGTGGCAGGGTACAAAGTCAACACATGAAGATCCTTGTATTTCTGTACACCAGCGACATATAACTGGAAGCCAAAATTAAAAAGTAAAAGCATACCATTTACAACAGCTGTAATAATACATGAAATATGTGGAAATCTGACAAAACAGGTACTGGATTGGGGCTCCCAGGTGGCTCAGTGGTTAAATGCCTTCCTTCAGCTCAGGTCATGATCCTAGTGTCCTGGGCTAAGCCAAGCTTGGGGCTCCCTGCTCAGCGGACAGTCTGCTTTTCCCCCTCCCTCTGCCTCTCCCCCTGCTTGTGCACTCTCTCTCTCTCTCTCATACTCTCTCTCAAATAAATAACATCTTTTTTTTTTTTTAAGTTTAAAAAATTTCCACTCATAGAATAGGAGAAAATAGGGGCGCCTGGGTGGCTCAGTGGGTTAAAGCCTCTGCCTTCAGCTCAGGTCATGATCCCAGATGTCCTGGGATCAAGCCCCGCATTGGGCTCTCTGCTCAGCAGGGAGCCTGCTTCCTCCTCTCTCTCTCTGCCTGCCTCTCTGCCTACTTGTGATCTCTGTCAAATAAATAAATAAAAATCTTTAAAAAAAAAAAAAGAATAGGAGAAAATATCAGCAGAATACATTTTCAGCAAAGGACTTGTATACAACATATATAAAGAATTCTCAGAGCTCAACAATGACATCACAAGAAAGAAAGCTCCAGATTAATATCCCTTATAAATATATATACAAAACTCTTCAACAGGGATGACCATGCGGCTCAGTCGGTTAAGAGTCTTCCTTCCACTCGGGTCATGATCCCGGGGTCCTCGGATGGAGCCCGCATCCTGCTCTCTGCTCAGTGGGGAACCTGCTTCTCCCTCTGCCGGCTGCTCCCCCTGCTTGTGCTCCCTCGCTCTTTCACTCTCCCTCTGAAAAATACATAAATAAAATCTTTAAAAAGAAAACAAAAACACAAAACTTTTCAACAAAATCTGAGCAAACTTAATCCAGCAGCATTTTTCAAAAGATTATGCACTTGGTGGTGTTTATTCCAGGAAGGCACCGGTAATTCAACAGAAAAAACTCAGCAAGTGTAGTACATCACATTGCTAGAACAGAGGGGAAAAGCCCATTTAATCATCGCAACAGATGCAGAAAAAGCACTTAATGAAATCCAATACCCTTCTATGATAAAAAAAAAAAAAACCTCAATAAACTATGAGTAGAAAGAAACTTAAAAAAAGAAAGAAAGAAACTTCCTCAACGTGATAAAGGACATCTATCAAAAACCCACAGGAGGGGCGCCTGGGTGGCTCAGTGGGTTAAAGCCTCTGCCTTCGGCTCGGGTCATGGTCTCAGGGTCTTGGGATCGAGCCCCGCATCGGGCTCTCTGCTTGGTGGGGGAGCCTGCTTCCCCCTCTCTCTCTGCCTGCTGCTCTGCCTACTTGTGATCTCCCTTTCTCTCTCTCTGTCAAATAAATAAATAAATAAATAGATAATTTTTTTTTTTTTTAAAAACCCCACAGGAAACATTACACTCAATAGTGAGAGACTGAAAGCTTTTCTCCTAAGATCAAGAAAACAACAAGGACACCCACTTTTGCTGCTCCTCCTTGTCATGTGCTAGCTAGAACAATTAGTCAAGAAAAAGAAATAAAAGGTATCCAAAATTGGAAAGGAAAAAATAAACTATTTCTAATTGCAGATGACATGATCTTATGCATAGAAAATCCAGCAAAAGAAAACCCTATTACAGCTAATACATAAATTCAGAAGAGTTGCAGGGTGGGTGATCATCGTGCAAAAATCAGTTATATTTCTGTATACTAATAAAGAACAATTCAAAAATGAAGTTAAGAAAATAATTCATTTGTAATAGCATCAAAAAGAATAAAATACTTAGAGGGCAACCCTCCAGGGTTCCTTCCCTCTTCTGGAACTTTGTACTGTCACTCAATAAACTTTACTATTGGTCAATAAACTTTTTGCTGCTCACAAAAGAAAAAAAAGGAATAAAATAGAAAAAAATTTCAGCAGGGCCCGTGGCTGGCACAGTTGGTTGAGATTCCCACTCTGGCTTTCAGCTCGGGTCATGATCTCAGGGTCGTGAGACCCAGCCCGATGTTGGGCTCCACACTCCACTCACGCCACTCTGAATCGCCTTGGGGTTCTTTCTCCCTCTCCCTCTACCCCTCCCACTTTTTGTGCGCACTCTCTCTCTCTCTGTCTCTGTCTCTCTCTCAAATAAGTAAATCTTAAAAAAAAAAAATAGAGAAGAAGAAATTTAACCAAGAAGATGAAAGACGGGCACACTGACAGGTATGAAACATTGCTGGGGAGATTAAAGAAGACGACATTCATGGTGTAGAAGACTTCGTAGTGTTAAGACGGCCTTTCTCAGCAAACCCATCTGTCGATTTGGTACCCTCCCTATCAAAACTCCCTTAGCTTCTTTTTTTTTAAGAAATAGAAAAGCCAATCCTAAATTCGTTCGGATGTGTATGAAAGGAACCATAAATAACCAAGACGATTTTGAAAAAGAAAAACAGTCGTAGGACTCACAGCTTCTAATTTCAAAATTTGCTACAAAGCTACAGGAATCAAAACAGAATGGCACAGGCATACCGTTAGACATAGATCAATGGAACAGAGTTTAGAATTCAGATATCAATACTATACATTTAAAATAAATTTATTTTTTAGAAAGATATTTATTTATTTTATTTATTTTTTAAAAGATTTTATTTATTTATTTGACAGACAGAGATCACAAGTAGGCAGAGAGGCAGACAGAGAGAGAGGAGGAAGCAGGCTCCCCGCTGAGCAGAGAGCCCGATGCAGGGCTGGATCCCAGGACCCTGAGATCATGACCTGAGCCGAAGGCAGAGGCTTAACCCACTCAGCCACCCAGGTGCCTCTTTACATTCATTTAAAAAATATATTTTTTTGAGTTTTTATTTATTCATATAAGTAATCTTTACATCCAATGTGGGGTTCAAACTCATGACCCCAAGATCAAGAATCTAAGCCCTACTGAGCCAGACAGGTGCCCCAAACTTTACACTCATTTAAAAATAATCAGTAGAATTTCATAAACAGCAGTTTTATGTTTAAGAAAAATTGAGCAGTAAGTTCGGACAAGAGGCACAGGCCCAGCCTTCCCCATTCCCACCGCCCGCCCCGCCTCTCCCGCGGAGTCCGCGGCCCAGGTCGCCCTCCCGCGCATCTCCCCTCCCGAGCCTGCCTCCGAGGCCCTCGCCCGCTCGGCGCCCAGAGCGGGAAGGGCGGCTCCGAGGCTTTGCACATGCTGTTCCCGCTGCAGCCTCGCCCGGATGTCCCTCCGCCCTCGGGGGCGCCCCTACCCGACCCCTGCGGGCCCGCGCCCCGGCGCAGCGCTCCCCTCCCTGCCCAGCCAGCCAAGGGGCGCCGACGCGGCGGTGGGGGCGGGCGGCCAGCCCGGGCGACAGCTGGGTGGGCGGCTCTGACCTTCGGGTTCGATCGATGCCCCGCTCCCGGGCGCTATAAAAGGGCCGCGCGGGGCTCGGGCGGCCGCAGCAGCGCTCAGCACCCCGCGCGCCCACCATGGCCGTCGCGCCCCTGCTGCTGCTGCTGCTGCCGCCGCTACTCCGGGGCTCCGCCGCGCTCCCCGCGCCCCCCAGGTGAGGGACCCACGCCCGCTCCTCGAACCCCACCCCCCCAACCCCGGCCTGGCCCTGAAACGACGCGCGCCCCCGCCCTCCGCCCCGCAGGGCCCCGCGGCACTCAGACGGGACGTTCACCAGCGAGCTCAGCCGCCTGCGGGAGAGCGCGCGGCTGCAGAGGCTGCTGCAGGGCCTGGTGGGCAAGCGCAGGTGAGGGGCTGCGGCGCTCCCCCGGCTGCGGGAGAACTGCGGGGCGTGGGCGCCGGGCACCTCCGGGACTAATTCTACTTGGGATGGGGGGGCAGCGAGCAGGACCCGGAGAACAGCACGAGCTGGACCAAGTCGGCCGAGGGCCGCCTCTGCCTGCACTGGCCGGACACACCCACCCTGCAGGCCTGGTGAGACCCCCGCCCGCTGTGCCCACGAGCTCCTGCCCCGCACCCTTCCTCTGCCCACCGCCCCCCCACCAGGACCCTGGGTCTGGGGCAGGAACGGGACGCGGCAGGGTGCCCCACGTCTGGGAAGGGGAAACCGTGCTGGTGATCAGAGGAGGCGGGGTTCCCCCAGGGGGCCGCAGTCTCCCGCCCCTGACCTGGCTGTCCCCGCGCAGGATGCCCCTGAGGGACCCCCTGGATCAGACCTGGTCTCCCCGGTTGCCTCCTGGGTCCGGGTCTGGGGCCACCTTTGCAGAGCCAGCCATCCCCGCTGCGGAGGCGACCCGGAGCAGGCCCTGAGGAAGAAGGAGTCCCGATCCTGCACCGGCACCGGCAGGGGCCAGGGGAGGGTGGGGAGGAGGAGGAGGAGGGCTTGCACTTGTCACCAATAAAGGAGGAATTCAGACACTGGCCCCGTGAGCTCACTCCGCGCCATCTCCCAGGTCAGTGCAGTCAGAATGCAGGAGGCCCCGACCGCAGCCTGTAGCCCGGTGACCGCACCCAGCCGCCCTTTAAACCTGGGAAGCCAGCGGGGCGCCTCTCCTCCCTTATCTCTCCTTCCCCAGGAGCTCCCCAGAGACCCACCTGCATCCCTGTCATCCACTCGGCAAACACTCAGGGGCTCTGGGTGCGCGGGTGGGGGGCACAGGACGTCTGTCACGGAGGCCATGCGTCGGGCAGTGGAGCAGCTGGGGGTGGAGAGTGAGGGGGGCAAGGAGGCCCGGGCAGGAAGCAGGGGCAGAAGGGCCCCAGCGTCCGCTCCAGAGAGAGACACCCACCCATGCCGCGGCTCCAGGTTCTGTGGTCTCGTGCTTGACTGCTCTGACGAGTGGGGGGGGGTCACGACGCCCCCGGAGGAGCTGGGGCCTGCGGGAGCCAGGCAGGCACCACCTGCAGGGGCCGGGAGCCTTGGGGGGCAGTGGCCGGGCAAAGCTAGAGAGCAGAAGGACCACAGCCCCCCCCCCCCCCCCCCCGTGTCGTAGCAGCCCCTCCCTCCTGCTTCTCCCTCTCTGCTGCTGAGGCCTGGCCCGTGGGGGCAGGGCGGGGAGCGCCTTTGGGGGAAGGGCAGTTGGGGGCCTGGGCCAAGGAGCCTTGCCAGGAACTCCTCTGTCAAGCACCAGAACCCCTGGGGACCTGGGTCCCCCCAGGAGCTCCTGGCAGCCTCCTGAAGCTTGGACGTCCCCATTTTTGCCCACCCCACCCCCTTGGAGGGGACGGCTGGTTTCCAGGACAAGCAGGGGTGACCCCAGGGCACAAACAGCCTTTTCCTTCCAGACCTAGATGGTTGATGCGGGGTTAGGGGGAGGAGGTGGACCTGGAGGGAGCACCTGGGGCCTGAACCTTGCTCCAAGATGATTCTGGAAGAAGAGGCCAGCAGAGGGGCTGCCGGGATGGGGGGGAGGGGTGGGTACAGCCAACAAAGAAGCCTCGGCTGAGCCCCTGCCCCTGCCCCCCAGCTCCCTGCCCCAGCTTCTGCCCACCCAGCCACACCCCCTAGCCCCCTCTGCAGGCCCAGGGTATCCTGAGCACCTTCTGCGTCCTGCCCTGGTATTTGAGAGCTGAGCCCCCTTGGTTCCCCCTATGTGGCCCGGCTCTGTTGGGGAACCCCCAGCTCGCCCCCTCCCCACAGCAGGGTAGGCCTGGCCAGGCGGCCTGCGGGAGCCCCCTTGGAGGAGGCCCGGTGGCTTGTAAAGGATCATAACATGGGGCGGTGCCCGGAAGGGGCAAAGGTCGCCCAGGCTGAGCCGCCACCAGCAGCGCCAGCCAGCTGCTCAGAGGGTCTGGCCAGGGGACGGCTGCCAAGATGGGGGCTTGGGCCCTGCTGCTGTCACTGCTCATGGCCACGGCCCGGGCCCAGGGTACCTGCGGGGAGGGGGCGGGGGGCTGGGTGGTGGGCAGGCCCCAGGAGGGCACTGACTCTTCCTCTCCAACTTTCCAGTCTGCTCTGTGAAGGACACCATCTTCGAAGTCGCAGAGAATACTAACTGGCCCGGGCCCCTGGCTGACATCTCTGTCCCCGCGGGCCAGCAGGTGACCCTCGGACCGTCGTCCACCCCCGACGCCTTCCGGATCCAGGGGACTCAGCTCTTTCTCAACGTGACCCCCGACTATGAGGTGCAGATGGCAGGCCAGGCGGGGGCGGCGGGAGGGCTCACCCTCCACAGGACCCAAGCAGCCTCCCGCACCCCTCCCCAGACAAGGCGTCCCAGGCGGCCTGAGGCTTCTGCGCCCCCCAGGCAATGACTGGCCCTTCTTGGGGCCCCAAGGCGGGTAGGGCTGTTGGGGGCTCCAGCTGCCTGGGCTCCCGATGCCCTCCGGACTTAGCAGGGCTTCTGGGGACCCTCCCCACCTGTCTCCTCACTTGTGACAGAGGGACAGCACACTGTGGTCAGCCGGGCAGGTGACCCTGACCCCCGTCTGCCCCTTTAGGAGAACACGATGCTGGAGGCGCACCTGGAGTGCAGAAGTGGCGACACCGTGGTGAGTACCCCTCACCGCACCCCCGCTCCTGTGTGGCTGCCCCCAGCCTGTGACATCAGCGCACTCCAGGCCCCAACCTCTCCACTCTGCTCAGCTTGGTCGAGGGCCACTCCCTGGTGACCTCACCCTGTGGTATGTTAGCGCCACACTTCCTCCCGCCCAGACTCTGCCCTGAGATGCAGACCCCAGCAGAGACCCCCAACCCAGAGCCCCCAACACAGAAGGCACTTCACCCTGCCGGGTCCCTCACCCCCCACTGACCCCCCATGTCTCTCTGTCAGCAAGGCTGTGGGCTCTGCCTCAGGCTGGACTCCACATCAATCAGAGCCTTGGCCACCAGCATCTCCTTTCTGGAAACTTCCAACTGTCAGCTGGCCCGCTTGCTCCCCTCTTGGCCCTGGCCAGTCCACTCTCAGTGTGGCCAAACGCTCTGATCAAGCAAGTGGACAGCCCGGCTGCTTTCTCCCTCGGAGCCGAGGCCGCACGGACCGTGCGGGGTGCAGGCTGGGTGCGTGGACCCCGACCCCACTCCAGCCAGCCTCGAGCCCTCTCCCCAGATGGGCACCTGCCTCCCTCTCCCACCGTCTCACGTCTTCACTCCAAGTTCACCTTCCCAGAGAGGCACTGACCGCCCTGTTTTAAGCTACAAGCCCCGTGCCCACGCACCTGCCGGTTGGACCGGACCCACGGCCCACGGGCTCCAGTGCTCCAGTGCCTGGAGGTGTCCTGGCGCACACAGCACGCACACCACCGCGACACCTCAGCACGGGACTCCGGAAGACAAGGCCTTCTTAAACAGCCACAGTGCCGCGGCCTCCGGGAAAAGGGCTCCTCAGCATCATGTCACACCTGACGCCCTCCCATTCCCACAGTCACAGAGACCCCGGCAAAGCCCACCTACTGAGACTGGCCGCTACTCCTCCTGAGGGCCCCCCCCCCCCCCCCCTCCCCCTCCCTTCTTCCTTTCTAGGTTGATGGATTCTTTAAGTCATCTCTACCCGCAACGTGGGCTTGAGCTCACAACCTGAGATCGAGAGTCAACTTCTCCTCCCACTGAGCCAGCTGGGCGCCCCTCTTAAGCCTCTTTTTTTTTTTTTAAGATTTTTAAAATTTATTTGACAGAGACCACAAGTAGGCAGAGAGGCAGGCAGAGACAGAGCGGGAAGCAGGACCCTGGGATCATGACCTAAGCTGAAGGCAGAGGCTTAACCCACTGAACCACCCAGGCACCCCCTCTTAAGCCTCTTTCAATCTATGGGTTCTCTTCCTCTCTTCCTTTTTCTTGAGAATAATTTCTTGAGAATTATTTCTGAAGCAACGCGAGTGTTCTCCCACTGTTCTCATTAGGGACTTTGCCGGGCACCCCCCACCCTGCCCAGCACCGGTGCTGCTTTCCTCCGGGGCGGTGGCCACCTCGTGAGCTGCGGGGTTGCGTCTGTGGTCTGTCCCGCAATCCTCTAACCCTAACCCAATCCTCGCCGAGCAGGAGCCCAGGGCTGACTCCGCCCTGTCCTGCAGGTGACGAAGCTCAGAGTCTTTGTGTTTGTGCTGGACGTCAACGACAACCCTCCCGAGTTCCCCTTTCAAGTCAAGGTAGAGAATGTATCTGAGGTGAGTGAGAGGGGCCAGGGGCTCGACCATGGGGGTCAAAGGTACAGCCAGACCACTCACTTGCCCTGCTTCCCCCAGGACACTAAAGTGAGCACCATTGTCATCCCTGCGACGGGACTGGAGGCCCAGGATCGCGACCAGGATGACATCTTGTTCTATACCCTCCAGGAGGTGACCCCGGTCAGTGTCCCCCCAAACCCTCCTTCTGTGTCCTCCTGGGCTCCAAGACTGAGTCCCGTCCCCTGCCTCCCCAGGGCGCCAGCAGCTTCTTCTCCCTGGTGGGCACCAACCTGCCTGCCCTGCGGCTGGACCGGCGCCTGGACTTCGACGCGCAGCAGAGCATCGACTTCCTGCTGCTGGTGCGGGTAAGCAGGCGGGGGCTCAGGTCCCCCCCGAGACGCCCCCAGCCCGGGACCCCCCGGGCCTGATCCAGTCGGGCTCTGCTGCCGCAGGACACGCGGGAGGAGAATGCAGAACCCAGCCACACGGCCACGGCCACCTTGATCCTGGAGGTGCAGCCTGCTGACCTTCGGCCCCCCTGGTTCCTGCCCTGTGCCTACTCAGACCACCACGTCTGCATCAACGCTGAGTACCACGGTGCTGTCCCCACGGGGCACCAGCTGGTACGGGGGCCAGGGAGGGCAGGAGGGACATAGGGGGCAGGGCTCGGGTGTCAGGGGGCCACATTTGGTTGCGATTTTCATGCGAACGTTCTTCAGAAGCCAATCCCACCCAACCACGGGGTGGCGAGCGGTGACGGAGCCCCTGAGCGTAGAGGGAGGCGCGTGGCCCTGTGGTCTCCGGGCAGGGCCGGGCAGCGCCTTGGGGACCTAGTCCCTTGGGCTGGGAGGGCTGCAGCGTGAGGGGCCGTGGTGGTGCTCCAGGTGGCCTCTCTGACCCGCTGACGTCCCTGCTCTGGCCCAAGAGGCCCACGGAGACACCGCAGCACAGTGGAGCGTCCTGAGCACCTGACTCCGACTCCCCATGACTTCTGCCTGTCCCGCGCGCGTGCCCGTTCTGGAAACGCTCCTCGTTCCATCAGTCGGGTGTCTTTGAGCCAATCAAGTCAGTAGCAGCGGAGCCGGGGGCCTGGAGGGCCCTTGCAGAGAGACGACTTTCCTCTTAAGGGAAGTCGGACGGTCAGCTGGGCCCGACACCCCAGCCCCACGGCATCTCCTCCTGTCCCTGTCCCTGCAGCCAGGCCCCCTCGTGCTCC